AGTATTAACTTACATTTTCCGTCAGGATTTCTGCATGTTCAGTGTCCTAAAAAACTCCTAGAATTGTAACAAGATGAAAAATGGTTCATTAATCCTGCTGTTGGACAGCATTGCAAGTAGTATTACAGTAAAGCTTCACATTTAGTCCTTTGCAACCTATAACTAGTGTAACCACATAATTCATCTCCTAAACTGGGAACTTTCAGACTTAAAAGAGGAACCATTAATAATTATTCTAGGACAATAGGCATAAACCTGGACCATCCTGGGCAATCTGGAGTGTTAGATCACTCTACTTACAACTTAATTCACATGGTATTGCCTCTTTTCTCATTAGGTTTTAGCCCTACTGTTCAGTCAAGTGTGTACTGAATATGCTTATTCTTGAGATATTTCGTTAAATGATAAGTATATTGAACTGGTGTCTTGTTAAAATGAATAAAAACATTCTCAAAAGATTCAATGAACTCATGCAACTCCTCATGTTGTTATTTTGCTAACGATGGCCTGAATCTCAATTTTCATCACAGGCTTGTCTAGATGTATATATTAATAACATGTTCAGTGTATGAAAGCATAGATGCTACTATAAGATAATAAACACATGTTAGTATAATATAATAAATGCATAGATGCTGATATAATAAACACTTATAGAAGAAAGAAGAAAAAATAAACACATAGATGTTAGTATAACATAATAATGCATGCCAATCATTCCATTTAGTCAATTCTTTTTTTTTTTTTTTTTTTGGCGTTAGGAACAGGTTTTATTATATTGGCTGGAATGCTCTAAATTCATGAAAGCTTTTGAGAAAATCTTCAATTCCCAACCCCTTTAGAAGGTGTGTGAGACCAGGGACAGCTACGAATCAGCATGCTCTAGCTCTGCCCCGTCTACAGCAGAGGGGTCTCAGCACAGTGTCGTGAGAACCCCTTAGGCAGCGGCAGCGGCAGTGCTGACCTGCGGCCTCGGCCTGCTCTGCGGACGGTGTCTCGGTGTCTCGGCTCCTAAGGTGTGGTCACGCCCTTCACATGCATCAGGAGGGAAGCGAGGCACCGTGTTCGTGTCCCCGTGAGTCAGGCTTGAAGGATTCCTAAACACTGTGTGGCACTAGAAACCGCATGCTGTACCAAGTCAGGCTCCTAGTAAGCTACCAGATTCTATAATAAAATATTATAGTCATTAACTGATAACCAATATAAAAATCTGGCCCAGAAAGGCCAGAATAGAAATACGCAATTTTCTTGATTTAAGATGGTCAAAAGTGTGGGTCTGGTTTTGTTTTAAAAAAAGAAAAGAAAGAGCTCTACACATTGTTTAAGCATGTGTAAGAAGCCTTTGTGTGTGCTGACTTTATCACGAGAACTCTAGCTGATTCTGTATGAGGGTTAGGGAGACACATCTGCAGCAGTGCACATGAGAAAGGAACTCTGAAAAAGGCAATCTCTCAGGTTTAGGAAGGACCAGGTTCTGGGAAGTACTTCAGAGGAACGGACAGTAATTCTAGGGCTACAGCCAAGGACGGAAGACTTCCGGAGGTTCTTCAGCTTCTTCTCGATTTTGAATGTTGAATAAGCCACTGAAGTGTGATATCTATGTTATCCTTTTCTTTGCAAGAAATTGAATAGCAGCAGATTTCTCTATCCTGAATAGCAGACAGATTCATTTTTTCAATTAGCTGTTTCTCATCCAAGGCACTGGGGAGATCTCTCTTGTTTCCAAGTACTAGCACTGGGATTCCTTGTAACTGTGGTTTGTCTAGAAGATTGTGTAGCTCATTTCGGGAGGCCTCTATTTTCTCACGATCTGCAGCATCTATCATATAAACAATAGCGTTGACTCCCCTGCAGTATCGTTCCCACATGCTCCGGAAGCGGGGCTGTCCTCCTATGTCCCAGATCTTTATGGTGACGTTACCTTTCGTGACTTTCCTCATGTTGAAGCCCACAGTGGGTATCATGTCTTCACTGAACTGACTTGACGCGATGACATTGACGAAGGTGGTCTTGCCCGAGTACTGCAGCCCCACGAGTGTGAGCTCCATCTCCTCCTTCCAGAAGAGCGAGCGGAACCAGTCCAGCAGGCGGGAGATGAGCGCCAGCATGGCGACGGCCGGAGCGACGACGCGGGGCGCGGCGGCGGAGGCGGCTTCCACACGGGCGGGCCTCCGCCCGGACCCCAAAGGCTGCCCCCGGGCCCAGCGCAACGCGGGCGGAGACGGGTGGCGGCGGCAGAGCCGGGAAGCCGAGCGGTCATGTGACCCGCCCCGCCCCAGCGGGCTCCGCGCGGCCGCCACCCCCATTTAGTCAATTCTAAATAAGAGGGTACTTCAAAAAGTTTGTGGGAAAATGAGAGTAAAAATAAGTTTATTCTTATGCAAAAAAACTTTGAAATCCCTATGTATGAGCGGTCATCAAAAAGCTCTTGGAAATGCATATTATGAAAAAACTATGGGGTTCTGCATGGTGATGCACAGGGAAAGCTATTTGCAATGCTGGCATCCCTTATCAGAGTGCTGGTTCAAGTCCTGGCTTCTCTGCTTCCCTTTAATCCAGCTTCCTACTAATGTGCCAGGGAAGGCAACGCAATGTGGTCCAAATGCTTGGGCCCCTGCCCCACTGTGGGAGACCTGGCTCCTGACTTCAGCCTGGCCTAAAACTGGCTGTTGTGGCCATTTCGGGAGTAAACCAGCAAATGGAAGATCTCTTTCTCTCTCTCTGAATTTCAAATACATAAATCCTTAAAAGAAAAAAAACAAAGAACAGAAAAGGCTGTATTTAGTTTTCAAAATTTTTGCATCAAAATAAATTTATCTTTGAATTTCATTTTCCATGAACTTTTTAAATTCACTTCATATTTGCCATATATATTCAATATAAATTTTTAATCAATAAAGTATTGCAGATGCAAGTCCTTATCCCTGTAAGATCCTCCCTGATTTCATTCCCCTCCGTCTTTGCTCAATGTTGAGAGAACTGGGAAATTCCAGATTGATGTTGACCAGTGGAATGACATTAGATTGATTTTCATATCCACAAGAACGGCATTTATCTCCTTTTATTTAAGTTTTCATATAGGTCTTTTGGTAGTTTCCTCTATAAAAGTGTTCCATATCTTTCGTTAAGTTTGTTCCTAAGTACCATATGGTTTTATTGCTAATATAGCTATTTATTTTAATAAATAATATTGTAAATTCAAATTATAGCTGACATGAATCACATTGATATGAACATTTTTATTAAGAAATATTACTGATATATCTTATTAGTAAAATTATGCAAATCTCTTAGATTTTTTCCAAGTGAGCAATAATGAAATTGATACTTTTGGGTTTTTTAATCATCATTTTATTGAATTTTTTATAATTGTTTTCAATATCAAATTTAATTGAAAACATTATAAGCAAGATAAACATCCTGAAATGATAGGATAATTAAACAAATGAGAGTAGAACAAAACAATTAAATATTATGTAGTCGTTAAACATAATAAGTACAGGGGCAGATATTTGGCCTAGTAGTTAAGATGTCAGTTGGAATGCCTGGATTTCAAATTGGAGTACCTGGTTTGAGTCCTGACTACAGTTCTGATTCTGGCTTCCTGATAATGTGTGCCTTGGGAGGCAGCAGATGATGGCTAAAGTAGCTGAGTCCCTGGCACTCCATGAGAAATTTGGATTGGGTTCTAGGCTTCTAGGTTTGAACTTGCCCATCTCTGGCTAGTGTGGACATACGTAATGAGACAATAGTTGGAAGCTCTCTCTTTCTGTCTCTTTGTCTTTCTCTGTTTTTCAAGTTAAATGAAAATAAATTAAAAATGATGATTGCAGATGTTTATTTATTTATTGAATAGCTTATTAAAAACTTTTAAAGCATTATGTATTCAATTTTGTGGATTTAGAAACTTTTATTTTTAATTGACAAATGTGTATTTTTATGAGGTAGACTATAATGTTATACATGTACACACTGAGGAATGATTAAATCAAGCTAATTTGTGGTAAGATAGAATTTAGTTTTTTAATAATTTTAAATATATAATACATTATTATTATTAACTATAATCACCACACTGTACAATAGATCATTATAATCTATTACTTCATTCTAATTAAAACCTCATATCCTCTAACATTTCCCCTTTCCCAATCCATTCTCCTGCCCAAACCAGCCTCTGATAACACAATTCTACTCTTTACTACATGAATTTGACTTTTTAGTATATCACAAATAATGAGTCATGTAGTATTTGTCTCTCTGCAAATGGTTTATTTTACTTACCATAATGTCTTCCAGGTTCATCCATATTTTTACAAATGAAAGAACTCTACCATTTTAATGCTGAATGGCATTCTCTTTGTGTGTGTGTGTGTGTGTATTACATTTTATTTACCCATTCAACCACTAACAGACAGTCACTTGATTTCTGTATCTTGGCTATTGTAAAAACTGCTGGAATGAGCAGAAGAGTGCAGACATCTCCTTGATATACTGATTTAAATTCTTTTGTTTATGTATTCAGTAATGGGATTGCTGGTCATATGGTGATTCTAGTTTTTGTATTTTGAAGGGCCTCTATACTGTTTTCCATAATGGCTGTATTAATTTACATTCCCACATCAGTGTACATATCTTAATATTCAAAAATTTTTAGGACAGCCATTCTAACAGGTGTGAGGTGAAATATTCTTGGGGCTTTGATTGGCATTTCCTTGATGATCAGTGTGGTTAAGCACTTTTTTTCATATCCCTGCTGGCCATTTTTATGACTTCTTTTGAGAACTGCCTGTCCAGGTCATTGACCAGTTTTTCGCTGAGTTGGTTTCTTACTGTCAAGATGTCTGAGTTCCTTAACTATTTTAGATACTAACAGATTATTCTACTTAGACATATTATTTGAAAATAGTCTTTCCTCATCTGTGGGTTGTCTCTTCCACTTTGTTAATTGTTAAATAAATATGTTAGCTAATAATTCTAATAATATGATTGAATACAAATTAAGATACTAGGTGTCTTTATCTTGTTCCTGCTTGTAATATTTCACCATTAAGTTTGATATTTGTCATAAATTATCTTTATCAAGCTAAGGAAGTTTCTATTTACATTTTATTAAGAGAGTTTAGCATAAAGAGTTTTATCAAATTATTTGTGTTTATAGAAGTGATCCTATAGTTTTTCTCATTTAATCTAATAAAGTTTTTTAAACCTTTTATAGGATTTTCTTAAAAACAATTATTCTATTTACCTGTAAAGCAAAGGAGAGGGGGAGAGAGAGAGAGAGAGAGAGAGAGAGAGAGTCTTCCATCTCCTGGTTTACTCCCCAAATTCCTGTAATGTTTGGGGCTGGGTCAGGCCAAAGCCAGGAGCCAGAAACTCCACCAAACTCTCCCATGTAGATGGTGGGACCCAAGCTCTTGGGCCATCCTCTGTTACTTCCCCAGGTACATTATCAGGGAGCTGGTTTGGAAGTGGAGCAACCAGGACTCAAACTGGCACTCACATGGGATGGTGGTGTCAGAAGTGGTAGCTTAACCTACTGTTCCACAACACTTGCCCCTAAAGCTTTAAATTACATTAATCAGTTTTCTATTTATCACTAAACTTGGTACTCTGAAACTATGTTGATGATTTTTTACTTTAGAATTTTATTCTATGATCTAATGTGAGAATGACCTATAATTATCTTCATAGTGTTTTTGCTTGTGATATCAAAGTTACAGAAGTCTCATATAAAGATAGGATTTATTATTAATTTAAAGTTTTTTTCTTATAAAATATTTGATGTAACAAATTATTCTTTGAATGTATTGTAGTTAATTATGAAAAAATTTTGATCTACTATTTCCTATTGAATTGAAATTAACTATTGATTCCATAAACTCATAATGTATAGTTTTTTAGAATTATTTACATTTGTTTTCCTGAGTCATTTTTATCAAATATTTTTCCAGCATATGTTGATTTCTTTTATGCTACCAAATTTACTGGCATAAAAATTTGTCACATTCTCCATTTAAAAGAAAAGCCATTAACAAACTGATGTAAGAAAGATGATGAAATAGACTATTAGAAATTTTACCTCCTTTCAATAGAAACAATAGAATAAACATGAATCAATTCCCTCTAAGACAAATTCAGAACATATTTGAAAGATCCCAACATAATGGGCAATTGAGGTAATAATCATATCAAAATGGGTCTCCTCAAAAAAAATCAATGTCCAGAAATTTTCAAAAGGTATCTTTATGATCTTTCTACCAATGCACAATGACTCTGCTAAAAGATGATAGGTCCTTTGGGGGAATGCTAAGGAGGAGAAATAGTACAGAAGTTCCTTGACTTACAACAGGTTTATGTCCTGATAAAGCCATCATGAGTTGAAAATATCATAAAACAACAATGCATTTATATACTTAAACAACTAAACATCATAGCTTAGCAACACAGTACATTGCAGAATGATACAAGTTGTTTATACTTATGATGTGGATAACTGCCACAGCAACCTCACAAGAATATTATACCATGTACCACTAGCCAAGGAAAAGATCTAAATTCAAAACTTGAAATACAGTTTCTGTGGAATTTATATTGCTTTCATACCATTATATAGTTGAAAAATCCCAAGTTGAATCTTAAAGTCAGGGACTGTTTTGGTTTGCATATTTATTTGGTTTCTGAACATCCCTAAAAATGCCCCTGTATTGAAGGCTTGATCCTTACAGTGGTGCTTTTGGATGATGGTGAAATTTTGGGGAGATTCCAATAGGAAGTTCTTAGGTCACTTGTGGAATGCTATTGGAAAGTAGTTCTTATGATAGAAGTTGTTTGAAAATCTTGAGTTGGGTCCAACCTCCCTGCTTCCTGGATCAACCTTCTTTCCTCTGCACATTTTCTGCCATTGTCATTCTAAAACCTCATCATAGGCCAAACCAATAAGGCTGTTTATCATGGACTTGAAACTCCAAGACTGTGAGCTAAATAAACCAATCTTTCCTTCATAATACCTTATATCTGGTATTTTATCTTTGTAACACAAAGATTAACACAGGGCCCATTTTCATAACCAATTTGGTAGCATTTCAGGATCTTTACTTAAGGGACATGGACCACAGGTTATTCCAGGACCTTGGGTCGGAAAACTGGCTCAAGTCTGGTAACAGAAAATCATAACTCTATTTCTT